GGGAGCGGCTAGGGCAGTCACTTGAGGGCGGCGATGATGAACGGCGGGACATGGTGAAGAGAGTAAAGGAAACAGCGATGAGAGAGAAAGAAAGAAGAGAGAGAAAGAGCGGAGAGAGAGTACTACGGCGCCGAAAAGAGAGAGAAGAGAGTTCTATGGTTTCTCAGTTCTCTGGAAAGTTTAGAATGAAGAAAAAGAATGGGAAGGGCTCTCTATTTATACCCAATGAGAAACTTGGGTAAAAAGTAAAGATAACCACTAAAAAAGAAAAGATAATTATGAATAAGAATATTCACAATTCATTTAGGAAAATGTTCATTAATATCAAAATAAAAAAATGTAATATTTATCTAAACTAGGAATTAATTATCTCTCGAAGGAAAAAAGAAATATCGAGAAATAAGAAATGGGCTTAAACCGTCTTAGTTGGGATTGAATTTTTCAAACGGGCCTGATTTGTAAAACCGGGTCATTACAATTCTCCCTCCCTTAACGAGAATTCGTCCCGAATTCTAAGGCATGAACCTCCACGGCCAGCGTAAGGCGATGAGGAAGACTTGGAAGTCATACCAAAGAAGGCTAAATCGAAATGTTCATAGAACGGAAGACTCGGGCAGCAATCATTTCTAAGTAAGCAAAACCTTTTATTAAAATAAATCAAGCAATCAATCAACATAGAATAGGGCTCTTAAATCTAATGCAAACATTAAAAACTAAGTTAAGTTCTAAAATGAAAATGAAATCTCCCTCAAATATTCCTCAAAAGCGCAGCCCTAATCTAGATAGTCTTCAAGCAGCTTCTCCTAGCCACGTCTTGGGTTGAAGTCGTCGTCGCCGGGGACCTCGCATTCGGACAGGTCTGACTCAGAGTCACCCTCGTCTTCCTGCCTCCGCTCCTCCTCGATTTCCTGCTCGATCAGCTGAGCCATGTGAATGACTTGGCCAGTCAACTCAATGAGTCCGCACTCCTCGGGATGTGGTATACTCCCTCAAATTTCCGGTCTCAACCCTTCTCGGAAGGCTATGGCTAAGTGGAGATCACAGCAAGTGGCTTGACCATTCACTTCCATCTCATGGAGATAAGCCATGCGGTACTGCCCAACGGAACGTGCTCCCTGGCTTAACCGAGGAAAGGACGGCTGAACATCCGGACTAACATTTGGCACGGGGTTCTTGCGGGGGCGTCCGCGCTTACGTGCTGGCTGGGCCTGTTGGGCCATCACTCTATCAGAAGAGGATCGGCACGAACCTCGAGCTTGTACAGCTCTGAGTACGTCTGTCGCTAGCGCAGCACAGGCGTTCACCTCCTCCCGGGTTGGCATCTTCCGAGCTGGTCAGGCGAGTCTAGTAGGAACCATGTGGATCGGAGTGGTCCGTTTCCGGGCTGTCTCGCGGGTATGAGCCCTGTTTGGCACGGGAAAGAAAAAGCTAAGAGTCAAATGTCAAGTATGCATAGGTGTGAGTCATAACAGTTGTAAAGCAAGTCAAGTGCGCACAAAGGATTCGCAAACACTAAAACTTTTTAGGTCTGACCCCTCGGGACAAAACCGAAGAGTCTTAACCTTGGCTCTGATACCAAACTTGTGACACCCGATCCCGGTCATATAAATCGAACCGGCAATGTCAAGATAACCGTCTGCGCTAGAAGCCAAATGCATTATCCACTTTACACGTCCCAGAAACCCAAGGCGCCTTGCTTAACAAACAACTCCACACCACATGCGATACTGAAGCATCCTGACTCACCTAACCTGCTAGAGGGGATCGAGAGAGAGAAGATAGGGGAACGCGGAGAGGGGTGAGTAATTTAGATTACCCTGGAGAATGAACCTACACTATCCTATCAATGCACCACAACTTAACAAACTCTAAGTTCAAGCCTAAAACAGCACTATAGAAAGTCCTAAAGACTTCACACAATAACGTAGCGTCTCAGGTAACGCCACTACGAATACCCGTACCACACAATGATGACTTACACCGTGGCACTTGGGTTGCATCCTCCGTAAATTTATAGTCGCTACACGACTAGCCCGTCGGCCATGCCTTGAGAGCGCTACGTATAGCCATTACTCCCATACCACATGAGTATACGCTGAACCCTTTTGAACAGCCACATGTGATGTCAGGTCCCTCAGTACCCCCTCGCATATTGCCCACATGGCTCAGCGACTATCCTCAACTTCAGTGTATCAATTGCAGCCCCATGCATTGCAAATCTCAACCATCCATCTCGGACCCTAAACAATAGTCCTCCACTCAAGTATATCGACCACAGCTCCTTTGCCTTCTGATCTCAACTCTCATCTCAGACATTTCACAACACATAGTCTCAATTATGATTTCACACAATACCGTATTAAGTTTCTATCCTCTTTACAAGTTCTAGGCGATCACACAATCACAGAAGAGATCCAAACAGCAATCAAACAAGCAAAGTGTTTCAAGCACAAGTAAAGGTTTGTTTTAAGTCTCCTGCAACTTCAGTTTCAAAACCCTAAACACATCTAGGCGATCACAGAGCAAACAACAACCTAATATGACCTAGCTGGGACTCAGTTCTAAAGCAGAAAGTAGGTTATGCTTGGTTTAACCCCAAACTATGTATTCAGGAAAGCAGAGTTCACGATATTCAAGCACAGATTCATCCTCACCTTGGCCTAGGTGGCGAAGGAGGTGGCGAGGGGAGGTAAGGGAAGAGAAGGAGGCGAGATGCTCCACGGCGGCTAATTACACCGGGTTAATCGATCTCCGGGGGTGATGCTGCGGCGGCGCGTGACTCCGGGAGGACTCCGGCTACTCATCAATGTGAAACACCGGGGCAGGGCGGCTGGAAGGGGCGGCTATGGGTCCATCCCGAAGGTAGTGGACTCGCGGCTGCTCCACCGCGGCGGCGGACGATGATGGCTGCTCCGGGGAGCGGCTAAGGCGGTCACCAGAGGGCGGCGATGATGAACGGCGAGACATGGTGAAGAGAGAGAAGGAAACAGCGATGAGAGAGAAAGAAAGAAGAGAGAGAAACGGCGGAGAGAGAGTACTACGGCGCTGGAAAGAGAGAGAAGAGAGTTTTAGGGTTTCTCAGTTCTCTGAAAAGTTTAGAATGAAGAAAAAAAATAGGAAAGGCTCTCTATTTATATCCAATGGGAGACTTAGGTAAAAAGTAAAGATAACCACGAAAAAAGAAAAGATAATTATGAATAAGAATATTCACAATTCATTTAGGAAAAAGTTCATTAATATCACATTAAAAAAATATAATATTTATCTAAACCAGAAATTAATTATCTCTCGAAGGAAAAATAAAATATCAAAAAAGAAATAAACTTTAGTTGGGATCAAATTTTCCAAAACGGGCCTGGTTTGTAAAACCGAATCGTTACATAAAAGCTCTGTATACATCAGATGTGTATCAGGTTTGTGGTCCACTTCCACATGCTCTATCCACGTTACCTGCAATATTTAATAAAATTTTAAAAATATAATGTATACATTTATAAGAATAAATAGACATTTCTGAGATTGGTATAGGGGCAATGGAGACACCTCAGAGTGAGCATTGGGCAAAGTTTGGATGAGACAACCAGAAGGACATTGTAACAAGAAAGATTGTCTTTGTCCAAATTAAGGACGCTTTGTGACACGTCAGCAACAATCCAGACTCCTTCATCGATCTGTTGGCAGCATCTGACGATTATGCACTCTCTTGGTGGCACTAGCGACGACAAAATATGTAGTTGCTCTCATATCTATCAATTTCAGTCGCATTCAAGAATATATCATGCATATATATACTAAGATGAAATCAGATTTTAAGTACTTCATTGGCGAAAACACTCTATTTAATGTGAGTCTAATTTCGAGAACACTCATAAAAAGATACTTATACCTAGAAATAATATAATCAATTTAGTTTAGTTTTTCTATGAAAAATAGTTTTTGGATAAAAAAAAACTTCAAAATTCATGTTTTTTTATTCAAAATAAATTAGTATTGATCCAGTTGTTGATAATCTGGTTCGCCTAAAAACGGTTCAACAACTTATACACTACTATTGTAGTCCGATAATTTGCAACATCACTAACTAGTAAAACTGTCCACGGAGTTTTGCAGGTTTTTAGATAGATGAAAAGATAATATTTATTTTAGATATTGTTGTAATATATTCTTTTTTTTTTGAAGCATATCTTTAAATAATTTACTTTTCTTTCCAATTTATTTTTATTTACATTAAAAAAATTGGTATTTAAATTTATGAAATGAGTTGTATATATATATTAATAATAAACTAACTATTATTTTATTTTATAATCTTTTACTTAAAAATAATATTAATGATTACCGCAAACTTTTATAATTAATAAAATACTAAAATTTAATAGAGAGTTGAATATGTGACAGTCATTTAAAAAAAAAATTCCATATAATAAATAAATATAATAATAATATTAGATGTTGTCCAACTATCAGTTTTAAAACTAAAACATTATAATAAAATTTATAGATTTATTATACATGAAATAAAAAAATTTGTTATTAGGTAGATGTTGAAGTTTATTAATTTTTATTTTTATTTTATTTTTTCAGACTATAGTATTTTAAATTAATTTTAAACTAAAATAAAAAGATATTTATTAATTGGGTTGAGTTCATCCTCAAACATGATTCGACCAACTATAAAATAGAAAATAAATCTCATCCCAATAAATTAAGTTTTGTTAAATTTTCATATATATATATGGTTCAGCCTCAGTACATTTGTACACAACAAAAACGCTATTTTATATTTCTGACTCTAATACATATTTGAAAAAAATAAAATAAATACTTACCTTTTAACATATAATGATACCCACTTCAATAGTGTATCCATATTTTCTCTTTCTTTTTTTTCCTTTTTATGAACCTCTCTACAATCACCTTTTTCATATAATTGCTAATTCGCTTGTGAATTACCAAAAAGACAGCATTATTACAAAAACAAATCTATTTTTTTTGTGAAGACCAAAATGATTGTGATGGTGGTGGTAGCTCACGCAACGAACAGCATACTTCGGTACACAGTAAGAAAAGAGAGAAGAGGATTTGTCATCGCCACACTCCTCAACAATTCCAGAGACTTGAAGCGTAAAATCTTTACTAACTCTATTAATTTCAAAAAACTATTACAATTTTGGATTATAACAGATTACTTTTGATTTCCTCAAAATGAATAAATTTATTTCAAAGAATGTCCTCATCCGGGGGAATCACAGCGACACAAGTTATGCAAAGAGCTGAATCTCGAGTTGGACCAGATCAAATTTTGGTTTCAGAACAAAAGAACTCAAAGCAAAGTATTCATCTACGCAGATCTTTATAAAATAATAATCTTATAATTTATCTCAACAAATTGATATTTTTCTAAAATAATGTTTTTGATATGCTATATAGGCTCAAAATGAAAGATCTTCTAACATATTACTTCGTCGAGAAAACGATAAGATCCGCTGTGAGAATGAAGCAATGCTAGAGGTTTTAAAGAATGTGCTGTGTCCAGCTTGTGGCGGTCCTCCTTTTGGTAGAGACGAACGCGAACGCAATCTCCAAAAATTGCGCTTGGAAAACGCCGTCCTCAAACAGAAGGTAAATCTTTTTTTTCCATTTATCGAAAAATATTTCACTATTATATTTTTGAATCATTTGTTTAAATAGTTTATTTGTAAATTTTAATGTGAAAACGGAACCTTCCATAAGAATAATTGTAAGAGAGGTTGACTAATATATTATCAGTCTAGCATTAGTCTGTAATTAGTTTACTTTTAGTCTGCTATTAATCGATATTTAGTTTACTTTCAGTGGTATAATGAATTAATCCACAATTAATCTATATTTATTCTGTATTTAATCTATCATCAGTTTGCAAAGAAAAAATATTAAAAAGATAAGACTAGTATTTATCAAATATTCTTTAAAAGAGCCTACTACAATAATATTTATTCATTGTAGGTCATTTTAAATAATTTTCTCTATATTTTTTGGATATTTGTTTTCATCTACCATCAAGTTTGTCATTTAACAAAATGACATACATCTACATTTGAAATAAAATGATATGTAGTAAAAATATATTGTGTATTGATTATGAATATACATATCAGATAAGTAGACAGAAACCACGATAACAGTGAAACGATAGAGTAACAATATTAACCATAAAAATGCAACAAAAAAGTAATTGGTTCTACATGTTTTTTGTTTTTTTTAGCATGACGAACTCGCCAACTCTGTATCCAAGAACAAGCACCAAGAAAAAATGGTGGGCTCATCCGCTTCTGCTGAGAGACAGCAAAACGTTGAAACTTGCAACTCATACAGAGCTAATCCAAGCAATCTCTTGTTTGAGCCAGCTAGCTCATTAGGACCACCAACTTCTCAAACCATCCAAACACAACCACTATCCGAAATGGGTGAATGAGAAGTCAGTGGCCTTAGTGAGTGCTTTGTTCAGCTCCACTATTCAAAGGATCAAGCTCTTGCTCAATTGTCTTGATCAAGCTTGAGTGAGGGAATATCCTATGGATGACTCTCTCCGCTTTTGTTGTTGTTGCTGTTAAAGATATTTTTATTTTTGTCTGGTTTTGGATTATTTGGATTGTTTATCATGGTTTTCAAGGACAGGATTATTATGGAGGATTTAAAGTTTTATTTTAAATTTTTTGGACATTTTTGTTGGTTATAATAATTTTTCCAAATTTTGAAGGATAGATGTTTCTTTGGGTGGTAATAAGGATATATGTTTGATAATATATATAACGATGCAACCGTAGGAAATGATTAAACATTTGATAAATAAATAAAATGGTGAAATAACAAATTTTGAAGTTAGATGTATATAGTATATAAACATTGAAATGGGACTTTGTCGATTTATTTTTGTTCAAATAACGAACAAAAGTTTAGAAAAATACAGAGTGACGAAAAACATTGACAGTATAATAGAAGACAAAACCGGACGGACATGTAAGGTGCAACATGTAGACCTGTAATTGGCAAAGAGAAGACAATGTGTATATAAATGCAGTAACAACACGCATCGTCAGTTCATGAACCTGCAAAGAGCTGAATCTCGAGCTGGACCAAATCAAATTTTGGTTTCAGAACAAAAGAACTCAAAGCAAAGTATACATCTACGCAGATCCTTATAAAAAATAATGATCTTCTAATTTATCTCAACGAATTGATATTTTCTAAAATAATGTTTTGATATACTATATAGGCTCAAAATAAAAGATCTTCTAACATATTACTTCGTGGAGAAAACGATAAGATCCGGTGTGAAAATGAAGCAATGCTAGAGGTTTTAAAGAATGTGATTTGTCCAGCTTGTGGAGGTCCTCCTTTTGGTAGAGACGAACGCGAACGCAATCTCCAAAAACTGCGTTTGGAAAATGATGTCCTTAAAGAGAAGGTAAATCTTTTATTTCCATTTATCTAAAAATATTTAACTATCATTTTTTTGAATCATTTTTTAAAAATATTTTACTTGTAAATTATAATGTGAAAACGGGACCTTCCAAAAGAATAATTGTAAGAGATGCTGACTAATGTATTATCAGTCTAGCGTTAGTCTGCAGTTAGTTTACCTTTAGTCTGCTATTGATATATATTTAGTGTAGTTTCAGTTGTACAATGAATTAATCGACCATTAATCTACATTTATTCTGCATTTAATTTATTATTAGTTTGCATAGAAAAAATATTAGAAAGATAACGCTAATATTTATCAAATATTCTTTAAAGGAGTTTAAATCTATAATATTTTTTCATTGTAGGTCATTTTTGAATAATTTTCACTCTATTTTTCTATATGTGTATCATCTATCATCAAGTTTGTCATTTAACTAGATGATATACATCTACGTTTGAAATAAAATGATATGTAGTACAAATATACTGTGTATTGATTGTGAATATACATATCAGACAAGTAGACAGAAACCACTATAATAATGAAACGATGGAGTAACAACGTTAACCATGAAAAATGCAAAAAGAAAAGTAATCGGTACTAAATGTTTTTTGTTTTTGTTAGCGTGAGGAACTCGCCAACTTTGTATCCAAGAACAAGCACTGAGAAATAATGGTGGGCTCATCCGCTTCTGCTGAGATACAGCAAATCATTGAAACTCGCAACTCATAAAGAGCTAATCCAAGCAATCTCTTGTTCAAGCCAGCTAGCTCATTAGGACCACCCACTTCTCAAACCATCCAAGCACAACCACTATCCGAAATAGGCATAAGGCAACTAACTGAAACCACGGCAAGTGCGGTTGGAGAACTCAAGCGCCTGTTCTTTACAGAGAAAGCTTTTTGGGTTAAGTCGTCTATCGACGGAACATGTGTGATTGATCAAGAGAGGTATGAGAAGTTCTCGCATGCGATCAAACATTTCAGGAGCTTGAGTGCTCGCGTCGAGTCTTCCAAAGATGCCACTGTGGTTTCTATAGAAGCAACAAATTTGATCAAAATGTTCTTAGATTCCGTATGTATTCTATCATGCATCATAAAATATATTATAATTAGGGGTGAAATTTAGTGGTGCATTTGCATTTGATATTTGATTTTTCAAATATTTATTTTTTTCTGTTATATCATTTAGAATATATTTTAAACTTAGATTTATATATTATTAATTCAAATAGCTTAAGTAGGTTATAGAAGAAGTTATTACATTTTGTTTCTAACTTTTGAGACATGCTGGTTATTAAGGGTTGAATTTTTTTGAGACATGCTGGGGATTTTTTTTTAGACATGCTGGTTGTAACTTATCAGACAATATTTTTTTTCTAAATTAAGGTTTGGACTGAATTATACACAAATATAAATATAACTTGTTTATTGTAGGAGAAATGGAAAAATCTCTTTCCATCTATCATGAACAAGGCCACGACGATTCATATGCTTGAATGCGAGCTTCCCATAAAAGAAAACTGCAATTGAAAAACCTAATATACAAGCTAAAACACGATCTGGGGCCTTTTTGTAAAAACTAGAACTTCTGGGCCAAAACTGCAATTTCTTCCCAATTTTTTAAAAACAGGCCACGACCCCTTCCTTTCTGGGTGACGAGCGTCACCCATATGCATACTTTCCTTCCCGAGTTAGATACTTCGTTGCTTCAACTTGCAATGCTCCAAAAAGCTCCAATATTTCCAGTTATGCTCCAGACATGCTATAACCTGCAAAGACTCTTCTAGGACTCTAAAAATACCAAAAAGACTCAATAAAAAGAACTTATATCATAATTAAAAATTATAAAAACTATGATATATCAATGACCATCGGCTCCCAGATCTCTCAGGTTTACTCCCTTCCTCGGATCGATATCAAACCAGGTTCTCGTTTTCAGGTAGCTGCTAAGGTTCGTGCTCTCTATCTAACTATCTGTCTCCAATTATACTATTCCTGTTTTGGTTTTAAATGATATCTCCTTTTGCTTCAACTTTCATGGATTATCTTATTTTTGAATTTAAGGTTTTCTTCATTATTGTATTCCCTTTACTCTCTTCAATTCTATTGTGCTTTTCGGATTTAAGTTTTCTTCATTTATGTATTCCCTTTACTCTTTTCAATTCTATTGTGCAATTTTTGTGCGAATTAAAAATTAGTGTGTTAATGAAGACAAATCAGCCATGGCCCTCACTTGAATAAAAACTTAAATTTCTTAAAAATGTATTAAATAACTTGATGATGTTTGCAGAAATTAAGAATATAACTTGTATGTTAAAAGAGAGCTTTTAGCCGACTTAAAGAGAAAGGCAATTGCAATAAGGTGAGATTCATCATCATCTAAAAGACACAGAGAAACAAAGTTGTTATTGCTCTCAAACGTAGGCCAATCTTGTTGCAGCATATGTGGTCTTCATATTAATAAAATCAAGATCCTCTACATGGTCTACAAAGAATCTAGCAACTTTATGCTTAGCAGCTCCAGTACCTCGGATTTCAACTGTGTGGAGAGTGTTCCTTTCGAGGTTGAGGTAGAAAACATAAAATGGCTCAGTGGATGCATCATTGAAGTTCATCTTCAAAACAGTTTCACTTATGCCAGTCACTCCGAGAACGGAAACGTATTTGGAGCCAACTAATTGATTCTCTCATAAAGTAGAAACATTATTGCAGCCAACGACTTTACTCTTACGAAAAGTGTAGAAATATTCCGACCATTCCCATTCTGGTTTCTCGACATCCTTCATGCATAACTTAATGGCACGCCTTGTTTAGGGCAAAATCTTCTTCTCTTTCGTAAGAATACAACAAGTGTTTAATTTGTTGCTCTGTTTTGTAGAAGAAAAGTAATGGGAAAACAGAGTATGAAAGAAACTTGTATTTATTGTATAAAAATCAAAAACTTGTGTTTTACAATGAAGGAGAACATGTGTTTATATACTTTTCGAAACGACACAAACAACAGTTGTGCCTGTCTACTTGTGTCTTTTATAACCTAAACCTGAAGACACGACCCTTAACTTAATAACTACATAAACTTAATTATCAACTAACATTCCTCTTTAATTGAGTTTCGGTCTTACTCCAAGCTTTTTCCTTAGTTCTTCAAATCTTGAGCCGCCAAGTGCCTTTGTCAGAAGATCTGCAAGTTGGACTTCTCCTTCGCAATACTTGAGTTGAATCAAGCCTTTCTGTTCCGCCTCTCAAACGAAGTGATACTTGATTTCTGTGTGCTTAGTTCTTCGATGTTGCACAGAATTTTTACCAATTGTAATTGCAGACTTGTTGTCACAGAAAATTTGAACACCACCTTGAGACTTAGATCTGATTTCTTCTAGAAGTCTCTGTATCCAAATTGCTTGGTTTGTCGCTGCACATACTGCAATATACTCAGCTTCTGCTGTTGATTGAACCACCGTTTGTTGCTTGCTTGATTGCCGACAAAACATTCCTGAACCAAGAGTAAACACATACCCAGACATGCTCTTTTTGTTTTCAATTGAGCCTCCCCAATCACTGTCTGAGTAACCTAACAATTCTGGATTTTCAACACTTGTGTATTGAACTCCAAAGTTAGATGTACCTTTGATGTATCTTAAGACTCTCTTGGTTTCTTGATAGTGCTTCATAAGTGGCACAGACATGTATCGTGAGAGATAAGAACTTGCAAACATCAAGTCTGGTCTTAATGCACAAAGATACAAAATACCACCAATGATGCTTCTGAACTTTGTTGGCTCACCATACTCTCCATCATCCTTTGTCTTTTTGCCGTTAGGTGTAAGTGGAGAACTTACACTCTTGCTTCCAGTCATGCCAAACTTCTCAATGAGTTTGTTGGCATATTTTCTTGTGATAGAAAAATCCAAGAATCATTTTGAATATTTTCATTCCCAGAAAATAACTCAACAGCCCCAAATTCGTCATCTCAAACTCCTTCTTCATGTCTTCCTTCAACCTTTCAAGAGTTGAGAATTACTTCTAGTGGTAACTAAGTCATCAACATAGAGACTAACGATCAAGACATCCTTGTCATCCTTCATTACGTATAGGGTTGCATCATTCATGCTTCTTTGAAAGCCACTTTGGAGAAAGTATAAGTCGATTCTCCCATACCAAGTGATAGGGCTCAGGTTTTACCCAAATAAAACTACTGCAAGTGCACAGCAAAAGCAGTTGTAGTACAAGGGGTATCGAATCCTAAAGGAGTAATGCAAACTACACTATCGAATGTAGGTTCGGATTAAGCTAAGCAGTATGTAATGTATGTAAATGCGTATGAAGAATTAAATGTAAGAAAACGAAATTCAAGTTGTTGATCTAAGTTTCAGAAGACTAAAAGCGCTAAGTCAGGATAGTTCGCAGGTTGAATCCAAGAATGTAGAATGCATGAAATCAGGAATGATTAAGAACAGTTTTGAACATGAATATCAAATATATAACTAATCAATTCTCATTGCAGAAGTTAACTATATTTAAATCACAGAGTTTCAAATCTCGTTACAAACCCTAACAACCTAAACATGCAATATAAACAGATTCAATTGTTCACAAAACTCCTAAGCCAAATCTCTTTGCACTAACTTGTTTTGCTCATCAAATACTAGTTCAAGTTATCAATAATGCTCTCACATATATTTAACAACCTAAGATTTTTGGATTTCTAGATGATGTGTCCAAGAAATTCGATTTTAAAGCAAGCAGAGATGAAAAACCAAAAGATAGTCCTAACAGGTAGCAATTCTACAAACTCTTCATCAACCTTTGAAAAAGCCCTAACTTAACTAGCAGATTACTCAGACATGATCATGGAATCACAAAACATAACTGAATAAAATTGCATTAAGAGAAAGAGTAAAAGAATAAGGGGGTTCGAAATCTTAATAAGGGGGTTCGAAATCTTCTCAAAAGAGTACAAGATCTGTCTTCCCAAAAAGCTCTGAATAAATCTCTCTCTCAAACTCTCAGAATTCTAAAATCTAAGATAAAAGCCAACAATGGCTGAAAAACCTAATAAATAAAGGCTAAACACGATCTGGGGCCTTCTTGCAAATACTGGAACTTCTGGGTCAATTCTGCAAATCGTCTTCATACTTTTAATAAATCAGGCCACACTCCTTCCTTGGTGGGTGACGAGCGTCACCAAGAGTGGTGACGAGCGTCACCAAAACGCATACTTTCTTTTCCGAGCTAGGCACTCCGTGGCTTCAACTTGCAATGCTCCAAAAAGCTTCAATATCCCTAATTATGCTCCAGACATGCTATAGCCTGCAAAGACTCTTCTAGGACTCTAAAAAGACCAAAAAGACTCAATAAAAAGGACTTATATCATGGTTAAAAACCATAAAAACCATGATATATCAACTCCCCCAGACTTAGCTTTTGCTTGCCCTCAAGCAAACATCAGACAAAGAACAGGGTCGAGGTTTGAAAACAAGAAACAGCCAGTCAGACATCAGGAACACCACATTAGTTAGAACTTTCGAACCCACATACCACAGAGTCAACACAAGATTAAATTTCAGTCTAATCATCACAAGCTTAGCAAATCTCTCAAGTCCAGTCCAAATCCCTTCAAGAAATCCGAAATTTCTACTGCTAACTCCTTATTTTATCTAAGTGTGAAGTCTCATCAATGTTTTATCATCTCAATCACTTACAGATTCTTTTCCCTTCCTATACAACTGAACAAATCAATCTCAACACAACTCTCCTATTTTCTCTTCCCTTGATCTTCTTCATTCTGATTTTTCGATTTTTACACTTCTTTTTCTCATTTTTTACAGTCTAAGATATGGTGATACTCAATACTTGTGTTCTTTGTGAGGAGACAGGTTCTTGAGTGTGTTCACTAATGTTGTTCCTTGTGAGGAGACAAGGTCATGAATGCATCATTCTTTGGACTTAAACTCTTAAAAACTACATCAGGGAAGATCAAAGAGAGACTGTATCTTAACCTTATTGTCAGTGCTGAAAGAGAGAATCAAGATCAATAAGAATCAAGCCCCAAGACAAGAAGTTTAAAGTTCATTAAGGTGGAGCTAACAGCAAATTTTCCAGATTTTCTAAGAACCTAAACCTTCATTGCTAGACTGATCTACCTATGACTTTCAACTTAGTAAGACTTGTAATCAACTATTGTGGCAATGGTTCTTATAAGCA